ATGCTGGGAAATGCTCCTGATGCCTACAGGCTTTACCCTTCTGCTATTCTGAGCACAGAAATGTGGTCAAGGTTTCCCAGTGCTCTGTCAGTTACCAGCGTCTCCACAACTTCTTCGGAGCCAGGAAGTCATCAACAACGAAGCAGGAATAAGCATCAACTATGGTGGACACTGGTCTATAAACTGGAGAAACAATGACAAGGACCAAGAACCTGCCCTGAAGAAAGAAACATTTCATGGATATGTCAGAAGGGGAAGAGGGCAGGAATTCAGGCCATCAGCACATATATAAGTGAGAGGATGGCCGGTGCTGACTGGGAGTAAATGTACAAGTTAGCACATATCAACTATACTAAACATGGTACCATTGAATTATGCTGCTTCTTAAATCAATTGCAGTGAAATTATTGTGATGGCCCAGCAATCTTTAGCTGCTTGAAAACAGGAGACTCACTCGCTCTGTGAATTCCAAAAGACCTAGAAAAAAATAGCCTATTCTAGCTAGATGCCAGCTAATAGGAGCACATGAAATTTCAGATCTGATTAGTTTATGAACTCTGTGATTAATAAAAGAACTCTTTCAAAAAAAAAAGGAGAACTCTTTCAATCTCGAAATCACTCATTTTGCTGGGTCTTGCTACTGCTATTAAATAGACAGGTGAGCCTAAGCAAAGAAGCTCAAAATCTCAGTGGTTTATGACAAACATTCATCACCTACTCCTGTTCCTTGGTCTTCTGGATTGGATCCAACGCTGGTCCTTGTGTTCTCTCAAGGACTGAGGAATCAGCCCCATTTTGGCGGATCAATCTTGTGGCAGATGAAAAGGACAGAAATGATGCAAGAGCTTAAAACCTTCTGCAAGGACTCATGACGTGGGAGTTCCACCAGGTTCCAGTAGTCAAAGAAGTAGCATAGTCGGGGGGGGGTATCAGTGGGATGTGAACATGCAGCCACTCATAAGAGGTCATTGGCTGTCACATGCCAACAGTCAAGCGTACACAAGCCCTACAGGGGAAGGTACCAGTAATGAGGAAGGGTACACAACCTGCCACATGAGGGTTATCATTCCTATCTAGAGTACAAATTACTACAGAATGGATGTCAGATCTATAGAATATTTTGGATTGTTTCATTGGTATATCATCTTCTTATGCTTTAAGAGTGCAGTAAAAACATCTGTTAACTCAGAAGGTCGAGCTCAAGTATTATCTCTCAATCAGTGATACAGAAATAGCCACAACTATTATTCTCAAAAATATTACTGCAAATTTTACACCCTTCAAACTTAACAAAGGATGATAAACATTTTAAACACATATCCATTAAGCATACAAATTACCTTCCTAGAAAATGAAGAATTTATTTTTTTTCTTTTTGTTACAATCTTTTACAGGCATAAAGATTAATTTACATATAAAATCTAATTTTCTAGATAAAATGTCATCTTTTTGTAAAAATAAAATGTATTACTTGTGTCTAACAGTGTTACAAAATTTATATTCAGCAGAAGACAGCACAGCAAGAAAACCAAAGCATAAAGGTATAAGGGAAGTGAGAAGGTTAGGGGAAAGGATATAAGGAATGGAAAAAATATGAGAAAAGGAAAAAATGGAAACAGTCTTTGTAAATAGGGGAGGGTGGAGGGGGTGAAGGGAGGGCAGGGGTATGGGGAAAAGTGAGAACCAAGACCTGTCATGTAAAGGTACAAGATCCCAATAATGAATGGAACTGTACTGTGTACCTAGAATGTACCAATAAACTCAATGAGATTTTAAAAAAAGAAAAGAAAGAAAACCAAAGCAAAGAATTTAGTCAAGCTTACTGAATCCTAGGGTCTCTCTTAAGTCTTGTATCCTTAATCAACAATAACCTCCTCCCCTACTTCCTCACGCTGATCACCCTTCGCCTTGGAGTCCAGCACCCCACTTAATTAGTTATTAGCAGATTGTCAGTATAAGCTGGCAAACTGCTAACCCGGTCTTGAAGATCCCCTGGATGCCAATGCTTTCTTTCTATCACAGTGAGCCTTCCTCGGACCTATGTATATCCAGCAGCAGAGCCCACATTTTTCATGGAATACTCTCAAATGAGTCTTGCGGTGGTCACCACAGGAACGCTTCAGCATGTGATGAGAAGAGCAAACTCACCAAAAGTAGAGAGTGGCACACTTGCCAAGAAAATAAAGGCCAGCATCAATCTGAGTCTATGGAGACACTGAAAAGAGTCAACAGAAAAATTCTGGTGAAGATATCAAAAGTCAAGACAGAGAAAAATCCACGCTGAATCACATTTGTAAATGGAGCACAAAGTGTAAGTTATAAGAAAGGAAAGAGACCACACAGAGCCCATTATGATCTAATATGTATGATCTGACCCACAGCTAGAATGTAGGGAATTCTATGAGAGCTTTGACAGGGAAAACTGAACATAGAAAAATTTTAAATGAAGGGACAGACAATTCTCATATCATTCAGAGAAAATGAAGGGGATGATAACTGCAGTTCTGTGAGGGCTTCAGATGCAGAGGGAATTTCTACAGGGATAGAAAATGCATCACACACCCATAGAAAGAGATTCGCCCCCAAGACGGACAGGAACCCAGAGCACTACCAAGAGCTCTGAGCCTTGGGCCAGGGATTTAGCTCAGTGGTGCCGCTGCCTGACTCGCAAGCACAAGGTCCCGAGTTCGATCCCCGGCACCAGAGAAAGAACTCTGAGCCTCTTAGAGATTTGAGAGTAGGTTTCCCTCTGTGTTTGATAAAAGAAGAAACAGACGTGATCACAATGTCACGGTCACTGACCACTCATTTACAAAAAAGAGAAAAGATCGGTGGGCATCAGGAAATCCCCTGGATATCCTTAAATTCAGTTTATGAAATACTTAAAGGGGTTTTATTGAGGAGACTAATGGGAAAAACTGAGAAACTGACATACTTTTCTGAAAAACTGCAGCAAAAGCAGAAAAGGATGGCAGGCCATTTAATCACTTCAAGAGAAACAGGTCCCCGTGTTGCAGGGGACACAAAAGAATAGTTACAGTCCCAGCTGGATCATAAAAGACAACCACAACTAACATTACTACAGGAATTTTAAGCAAAGCTTATCCAAAACAATCTATATTTTCACACATGGAAGAAAATGTCCTGCATGAAGGCCCATTCCAGTTAATTCTCCCAAAAGTTGTTTTAAGAAGGGTTGGGAAGAGAGACCTCATAACCCACAAGCCAAGGCCTGAATCCATCCCCTGAAGCCCTGAATCCGTCCCCTGCTTTGGTTCCGCCCAATTGAAATTGCACCATTTGGATGTATCTCTTTTTGGGGTATCTGTCTTTCCTCGACCTGACCATAGTCCCCAAAGTTGGGGCAAATGCCTCACCAACACCCTGAAGACTTAAAGGCCAATGGACTGAATACAGGTGGGGTTCGACTTAGAAGAGAAGGACGTATCCTATTTCAGCATCCCGTTGTGGCCTTACATCTTCACAAACAGATAGTCAGGAGCACTGTGCAGTCATCAGGACTGGAAGAGGAGGATGCCTATAGCACTGGTGTGCACACTTGTCAGGACCCAAGCCCACCCAGCCCCCTGCAATAACTAGAGTCCTTCCCTGGCCACCCCCTAATCAGCCCTACGGCTCTATCACCAGGACCGCGGTCTGATTTTTCAACCACAAGTGGACAGACTGGACAGTGAAACTGCTTTTCCTCATGCTTCATCCCTGCCCATCACCCTCCTCAGCAAAGAGACAAGCAGATTCAGCCCCACCACCAAAACCTCTGTGCCCGAGATGTGGTGAATGGTGAAGATGGGCTTTACCTACCTACACCATAAATTGAGTTTAAAATATTTTTTAAATTCTAACGCAGATGACACCACTTTCCTACTGGAACAGCCGCCCCACAGTCTTCCGGACACTGGGAAAAGACACTAGTTTGGCCTCCAGGCTCTTTCCTAGGGAGCCTCACTCTCACACTCCGACCTTCCCTTTGGCCACCTGTGTCACTTTTCCACATCACTCCCTGCTCTCGGGCAGCTCTGATCTGGCCACCTCACACCTGCCCTGAACCTTGGCGCTGGCTCTCGTACCTGTCCAACGGTGTCACAGAGCATCATCGGGAGTATGAGAAGCATGCCACACGCTCTTGAGAAAAATGTAAACCGAGGCAGCCTCTTGGAAAGTCCGTATGGCGAATATCTAAAAGCATGCTTGCTTTTTATAATTCATGCGCTTTAAAGAGAAAGCAAAAGATATTAAACATATAAACAAGGTGGTTCTTTGCCGCAATAGTAAGAGAGGAAAGAGAAGAGAGACAGAAACACAAATAGGGAGACACAGCAAGTAAGGACGAGACGAGGACAGGGACACAGAGACAAAGCTAGAGAGACAGAGACAAAGGCAGGAAAGACAAAAGCAGTAAAAGACGAAGCCCAGCTTCTCTTCAACTTTTCCTCTCAGGAATATCTGGCAGACTGATAAAATCACCAGTACACTCTTGTACGAGGGCACCCAAATGTTGAGAAGTGCACAAATCATAATGTAATAAATATGAAGTTTAAAGAAGCCACACAGGTTCCTTTCTGTCTCCTTTTTTGCAGATTGGCCAAATCGGGAAAGCCAAAAGCCATGGCCCCACAGACTGCAAAGGTCTGTGTGCCAGGCACTGCAGGAGGCCCAGGGGCTGCAGAGATGCCCTAGATGCTGGTACTTTCCATCCCGCTGAGCTGACAACCTGGCAAGGAGTAGTGCCGAGCTCTGCCTGATGCTGAAGACAGACCTCGGCCTGCAAGAGCATGCAGATCTCAACACCCTCACTGCGTTGTGACAGATTTCAAAGCCTGCTTTGCCGGTGAGTCTGCCTGCTCTCCTCTACTCCCTGTCCCCTCTCGCCCCCCGGTGCCCCTCACGGTTGGTGTCTCCGGCAGTCTGCAGCAGTGATTCCCAGGATAGGACCTACAACACCACCGCCCAGCAGGCCACAGTATTCAAACTGAACATTGTACTGATCAATCTTCTGATGCAACATTCCAGATTGCTGGGCAAAATGCCTCACAAAAGAAGCTAGGGCAGGGGCTTGAAGCAGTTGAAACAGAGATATACCGGTTGTGACTCATTTGGGGCTGCAGAAAACATGATCCTGTCTGGCACAGTTGATGAAGGACTCTCACTGTTCACAAGACAAGGCCAAGATCTCGACAAGGTAAGTCCAGCTGTTGGAAAAAAAAAAAAAAACATCCTGTCACCCATTTTTGGCCATGACCGCCTGTCCATCTAGGTTGTGTAGAAGACACATTATATCACACATATCCCATCAGCGAGTGCTGGCAAAAAGGGGGGGCAATAAAAAATTACAGATATGGAACACAATGCAGCTCCTTTTGACTATGCCATTTGATTGTAGGTAATACCTGCTTTACAGTAGAAAGGACCACAAGACCGTGAAGGCTAGAGCCAGCCTAGCCAGGTCAAATCCCAGCTCACACTGGCTCTGTGACTTAAGAAAGTTACCTAAACTCTCTGCCCCTCAGTTTCCTCAACTGTAAAATGGAAATAATGATAGTAGCTCTCTGAACAGGTTATGTGATACTTAATGGGGTTAACAAAAGTAAGAAGCTAAGTGCCTGCTCACAGGAAACAGGAACAGGACAAACAGGCGATCAGGAATATACCTCTTACAGAACCCTGGATGCTCTGTTCTCTAGCTAAGCAAAGATGTGCACTCTGCTGTAAGTGTGAAGCCACATTTATCTATTTTCAATGGTGACAGAAATTCAGATCCCTTAGAATCGGGAGTTTGTACTCTGGCCGATGAGTGCTACACTAATTGAATAAATATGAAAGTTTTATTGGTAATGGAAAATTACTCTGCAAAAACAGAAACAATGTGAAAAATGTAGACACGGAATATTAGAATTCCCTGAATGAAGCCTGCTGCTGAAGGTATCTAAAAGGATTTGTTTGTTTGGATAATTTGCTTAAATTTGGATTTTTTTTTCTTTGCTGTCCCCCAAGGGCGATGGGTTAACACCATACACAGCCTTCAAAAAGACGGAAGAGGTAAAGAAAATACCAGACAAGTGTTCAGGACATACATGAACTTCTTCCAGGAGTCCTAAATACTTTGCAGGTTTCAGCCAATATAATCCATTAGAACTGATTATGTTGAGTACTTCAGAACCTGCTCTGCTGCTTTCTCATCTGTCTAAATCAATCTCTTTCTGATAAATGTTATATACATGGGTCATTTTTTCAATTGTGTTTCTTTTCTTGCTCCCTATGTAGCAAATAAATGTGCACATTAGCATAGATATGATTAATGTAGCCGACACTATGTCTCTGTGTGGCTTGAATATTTACTTGTGATCGTGGGATGTAAACCTTTTCCTTCTTTTTCATCACTGTTCAAAAAAATATTCAATGTTACTTTGAGCAGAGCTTGCTCATTGGTATTATGGAGGATGCAAAAAGGAATGAAATACTGTTCCTACCTTCAGACACAGTCCAGTCCAGAAGGTGCTGTGACAATACAGAAAGGAAGCCAGCTCAGGAAGTGACTTTTAAAATAGGTTGGCATCTTGTACTATTGCTTCTAGTTATGAAACTTTGAGTAAACCATTCCCATAAGCATCCGATTCTCCATCTAGGACATGCAAGAAAAAATAGTAGTTCTCAAAAATTGGGATGCTTGGAGATTTTAGTTATACTAGCCTTTTAATTACCTCCTCCTGGTGGGCAATACTATTGTTTATTCCACTTGAGAGTGGAAGCTCACCCTGTCCTCTGGAGATTTGAGTAAAATTAGCTTGAATCTCTCATCTGGAGAGAGGAAGACTCGTGTCCTTTGGAAACTGGATTTGTCTGAAGGGGTGGATTTCTTCCAAGTTTCTACTTTCACCTATTTTTCTTCCTACTGATTTCTTGGGGCTCTTGCTTGATTCCCAAGGCTGAGTATGGAATGTAGCCTCGGTTTCTGTAGTCCCCTAAATCTAGTCACTCCAAATGTGAGTGTGGAAGGTTGGACAAGTGGTGAAGTCATAATAGAGCACCCCAGAGAAGGAAATCACAGCCCTGTTCTCAAAGGGACGTCGGCTCACTCTACCCTGGAGAAATAACCAGTCACCTCTTCACTCACTCTCCTGTCACTGTGGTGCTGCTTTCTGTATCTTCTCTTACCTTCACCTTCTAGCTCAGTCTCCCTCGTCAGTTCATTCTCCCATTACGGAAGTAACTGTTCATGTTCATGCAACAACATTTTTTCTCTTTGCATCATTTCTTATACACCCAGCCATGCCCCTCGGCTATTTTTCTGGAACCAAAATGGAGACCGAGGGAGACTGAGATTTTCTTAGCTAAGATAGTTTTCATCCTGAGAAGAAAACATCTGCTTTCCAGTAGGTAAGCTGATTTCTTAGCCCTGCCAAAATGATATTAGCATAGATAAAAGCAGAATAAATATTACTGTCTGAGAGACGACCATCTCCAATTTGTCACAAAATGGGAGCTGAAGTGACAGAATCGGGGGCAATTTACTGGACTAGGTGCTATTTTAATTGTTCTCTTGAGGAATGTGTGTGATTCTATAGACAGATTTTAGAAAAATGGCACTTCCAGCAGAGGGAGAAATATGACAAAAGACACAGCGTCGGAAAAACAGGAATGTGTATGAGGAGAAAGAGTAATCTGATGTAGTGAGTAAGACACGGAAGAATAAAAGCAATGAGAGATCTCAATAGAAAAGCACAATTAGAAGCATATAATGGGAGGAATTTGGAGGTCATGATAAGCTGTTTAGGCTGTTCTGTAGATGGTGCCGATTTTTTGAGCTCTGACACCTCCAAAGAGCTTTCTGTGTGCTACGGAGAATTGTTCTAGGTAACCTCTAGCAACCACCTCTTGGCCTTCTGGCTAAGATCAAGTGTAGATAACCTCTAGGGTTTCATCCAGTGTTTAGACCCTGATTCTAAGATCAGACATGCGGCGGTTGAGGGCATTTCTGCTGTATCATAAGAAACATGTCAGGGAGCGCAGGTTGGAAGAGGGAGGGATCTCAGGAACCACATCAAGAGATGAAGTGGACAGAAATAAGCTGAACTAAAAAAAAATCCATTTTGAATATGAAGGGAAAAGAGACCCCAGAGTGTTTTAAAATTAGGATTTATAGAAATTTTTGAAAACTGATTATACATGAAAAGTGAAAAAAATTAAAAGATAGGGTTACAAAGTTTAGAACAATATTTCATAAACTGTGGTCTCATAACTTCCTTGACCAATAACATCTAAGAGTTGCCTAAAAATAATAGACTCCCAAGTCCTACAAAAGGTCTTTAGCATTTCCATGAGGTGAATTTAGGGAAAAAGAAAAGATGAGTTCACTTCTAGACGTGGGATGTTTGAATTGCCTGAATGACACCTACAAGCATGAACATACCTAGCATCAATTTTGCTTTTATTTGTGTTGGCCATTTTGATTAAATTTGTGTTTTTCATATCTCCCAAAACTTTATGTGACATGTTCGATCTCCTTCTAGGTTTTGAACATATGGAATACAATCATAATAACTAATGTAATGTGCTTGTCTACTAACTCAGTCATATGGGTCATCTCTAAGTTAGTTTTGCTTGACTGATCTCTCTTGTCATTACATATTGTATTTTCCTGTTTCTTATAAATGCTGCACATTGTGACTCTCACCTTGTTGGAGATTGTGTGTGTGTGTGTGTGTGTGTGTGTGTGTGTGTGTGTGTCACAGGTGCAGCAGCATTGAGCTAAATCCCTGGCCCGGGTGTGATATATTTTTATACTCCAATAAACAACCTTTTCCGGGGATATAGTTAAATTACTTAGAGACATTTAATCTTTTCATTGCTTTTGAACTTTAGCGAGGAGGACCAAAACAATATTAACTATAAAATCAATTTTATCCCATACCTAAAAAAAAAACTAAATTTTTCAATGGCTGTGACATTTTCTACACTAGCTGGTTTAAGTTATTTAGAGATATTTAATCTTTTCATTGTTTTTGGACTTTAGCGAGGAGGATTAAAGTAATATTAATTGTAGAGTCAGTTTTGTTTTATATCTAAAGGAAAAACTGAGTTTTTTAATGGTTGTGACATTTTTTATATTAGCTGGTGGGAACAGGCAACACCACTGGCTCTGTGTGACAGAGGTATCCAGAGTTCATTCCACATACAGTTCATTATCTTTGGTTCCCTGTTTGTGATTTCCCACTATCCATTCCTCCCCATGCACCAAGAGTTGTCCCACCTTCAGGGAATTGCTCGATTTCACCAACTTTCCTCTCTCTGCCCCACAGTCTGGAAGCCCCCTCAAGACAGTAAGTGTGATCACCACACATTATTTTTTCTTTTAAAAACCGCTATCCTGCCTCCTGTCCAGTGTATTGAATATCACTAACTCATAGATTGTGTCTGTTTATTTAATTGGTTCTGGTGATATAATAAATCTAGTCCTTCTTCCTCCATCTTGACCTAAAGTACCTAACGTGACAATTTGTTCTTTCTTTTTTTTTTTTTTTTTTTTTTTTTTTTTTTTTTTTTTTTTTTTTTTTTTTTTTTT